TTTCATCTACTCTGACAATCTTTCTCTCTCTCTCTCTCTCTCTTTTGTGTGTGTGTGTGTGTGTGTGTGTGTGTGTGTGTTTTGAGACAGGACCTCACCCTGTCACCCAGGCTAGAGTGCAGTGGTGTGACCATGGCTCACTGAAGCCTCAACATTTCAGGCTCAGGTGATCCTTCCACTTCAGCCTCCTGAGTAGCTGGGACCACAGACATATGCCACTGTGCCCACTTACTTCAAAAATTTTGTAGGCATGGGGTCTCTGTGTGCTTCCCAGGCTGGTCTTGAACTCCTAGGCTCAAGAAATCCACCTGTCTTGGCCTCCCAAAGTGCTGGGATTACAGGCATGAGCTACTGTGCCTGGCCTCCTCTTACAATCTCTGTCTTAATTTGTACATTTAGACCATTGATGTTCAAAGTGATTGTTGATATATTTGGATTAATATTTACCATATTTGTTACTGTTTTCTATTTATTGCCCTTGTTCTTTGTTTCTACTTTTGTCTTTCATTCTTTTCCTGCTTTTGGTTGTAATTGAGCATTTTATGTGATTCTATTGTCTCTCCTTTCTTAGGATATCAGTTATACTTATTTTTTAAAACATTGTTTAGTGACTGCCTAAAGTTTGCAATATGCATTATTTACAACTAATTGAAGCCCACTTTCAAATAACAGTATACTACTTCACAGGTAGTGTGAGTATTTTCTAATAAAATAATTTGAATTCCTCCCAGCCATCCCTTGCAGCAATTGTTGTCACCCATTTTACTTACACATAACCATGCATAATCAAATACATTGCTGATAATTGATATTATTTTGAACAAACTGTTACCTATTAAATAAACTGAGAATAGAAACCCAGTTTTTATTTTACCTTCATTTATTCCTTCTTTGATGCTCCTCCTTTCTTTGTAGATCCAAGTTTCTAACCTATGTTATTTTTTTTCTTTCTAAAGAACTTCTTTCACATTTCTTGAAAGGCAGGTTGACAAGTGTTTTTTAAGAGAGAGACGGGGGAAATTTGAGATAGACGAGGAGAAGACAAGACACAGAGAAGAGAAACTGATGTGAAGATGGAGCAGAGAGAGATGTAGACACAAACCAAGGAATGTTGACTGCTACCAGGAGCTGGAAGAGGCAGAGAAGGATTCCTTTCTAGATCCTTTAGTGGGAGTGTGGCCCTCCTGACACCTTGATTTCAGCTGTCTAGCCTTCAGAACTGTGGGAGAAAAAGTTATTATTGTTTTAAGCCACTAAGTTTGTGGTGATCCATTACAGCACCCCCAGGAATGGATTAGCCCTAGTTACCCCCTGTAGTGGTAAGCTCAATAATTTAAGAGTTAGTTTTTCTTACATTCTTAGGTCTCTCTTCCCAGTTCTCCACTCTTGTTCTCTAAGATCATTTCCCAAAATAAATTCCCTGCCTGCAAGCCCTGGTCTCAGGCTCTGACTTCTGGGGAGAATCTAGGCTAATATACTTGGCTCCAGAAGTGACCATAGGAGGCAGAACCTCAAGATGTTATGGTGGAACTGCTTCATTCACTGTCCAAACAGTGGGAAGAACTCTGTTTGTGGTGGTGAGTTGGTAACAACTCCTGGTGCCCAATGCATCCGTGAAGTGACCCAAAGGTCTAGGGCATGTGAGGAACAGTCTCTCCAAGGTAAAGAAGAATTCATTGCTTCTTACACCTCCTGTTACTGGGAGACACTGTATTTGGTGTGGCTCTTTCAATTTGGGAGGTTGCATTGAACACATTTGGGAATATTGCTCTAACCCTTGTGTTGGGTGACTCAGAATCCCATCAGTTTTGGGAAGGCTCTGCAGCAGTTCTAGGCTCTGGGACAAGTTTTGCTGCCACTTAGGTCAGAAGACCTAACATGGTGCTAGAAGTATCCACAATGGATAAGGATGCCTGTGGGTAGTTCACTGAGGGATAAACTCAATATTTCAGTGCTAACTGAAAATGAACCCCTCTGTACTGTAGCCCCACTCAGGGGTGCCCTGTAGAACAGTAAGAAGAGAATTCCTCATTATGGGAAGAGCTACAAGCAGTACGGTGATTCTTAATTTGTATGGAAGCAGAGATGGCCCTAAGTACGGCTACACATCGACTCCTGGCAGTGGTAAGTGATTTTCTGGGTGTCTGGGCATGAGAGGAATGAGACTGAGAGATGTGTCAAGAAGTTAGCAGATGAGGCATTTGGGAGGGCCTATGAGAGTGAGTATAGCATATAAGGATATTTGAGTGTAATGTTCATGCTCACCAGAGGGCTTCTACTACAGAGGAGTTCCCTTCATATGAGCATCAGCTCCCATTGTTCCTTGGCCATCTCAGGGCTTGTGCAATGAGGCCCTGAATGCCGCAGTGGCCAGAAACAAAGCTATACACTTGGGGCCAGCAGCACAAACTTCTTTTCATCAAGGCTGATCTAGCCACTGCCACTGATGAATGCCCAGACTTCCAGCCAAAGAGACCACAGCCAAACTCTGGATGTGAAAATATTGCTCAAGGAAACCAGCCAACTACCTGGTGGGAGATGGATTTTTTTAAGATCCTTCAATCTTGGTGGAAGCAGCAATTTGTTCTTATCAGAATTAACGCCTACTCTGCATATGAGATTCTTATCCCTGGCTGTCAGCATTGCCATACAAGGGCCTACAGAGTGCCTGATTTATCAGCACAGAGCCTATGCAACATTGCATGAGCTGTGCTACTGCATACATGACTATAGAAATCTCTGGTTCTACCATTTAGCACATCACCTGGAAGTTGGCAGCCCAATACAAGGATGGAAGTACCTATGAGAGACTCTTTTAAGGTATTATCTTAGGGATGGCACCCTGTGGGTTTGGCACGTAGCTTTCAGGATTGTTATTAATATATGCATTGAGCCAATGGCCAGTATGTGGTCTGCATCCCCTGTAGCTAGAGTACATGGATCCTGGAACCAAGGCATGAAAGAAGGGGTAGCCACTCTCACCATTACTCCCAGTGACTCACTTGAGGAATTCATACTTTCCACACCTGCAACCCTATGCTCTATTGGATTGGAGGCTCTCTAAAAGGTGGAGGCATGCTTTTACCAGGTGGGTTCTGCTGAACCTGAAGTTACAGCTACTGCCTAGTCATCTTAGATCCCTTGAGCCAGTGGGCCATAAAAAACAATATTGGTGGGAATAATTGAGCCTAACTACCATGAGAAGTTGGGTTTCTACTCCCCAGTAGGGTTAAGAAAAGAACATGTCTGGAATGAGAGGACACTGGTGTTTCATGCCAAGAGGAAGCTGTAAATGGGCCATGGCAGTAACCACAACTGCCTAACCGTGGCCAAGGGAACCAAAGCTCCAACTCAGCAGGGATGAAGGGTGAAAGTCTGGCTGAGAGTGAGGGGAATCAAATGTGTGTGGGTTAAAGAAATGATGCACGTCCACTGTGGTATTGGCTCCAGTTGCAGCAAGACGACTGTAGCTTGTTCCAATAACTCTCCAGTAGTGTCTCTCGTAGAAATTTCTACTGACCTCCCCCCCAGTAAAAACCTTGTAACTGATTGTATCGAACCCCTCTCATGCCTCATATCTTACACTTCTTCAACTCACCTTCTACTATGGCCATTGCTGCAGCGACCAGCATCATACCAGTATGACTTTCCAGCACATTCTCTTGGGAGCACTTCATGTCTCACCTGCTGCCTGGAGACCTCTCTGAAGCTGCTCTGTAAGATGACTGCTAAACCAGTCTGGCACTCACTTACTCATGTACAATCTATGGAAGTAAGAGGACACAAATACCCTATGTGACAATCCCTGACCAATGGAAGATAGAAGTTAGGGAATAAATAAGTGCTTCTCTCTTCCTTCTCACAGGCAGACAATTCTGAGGTTCATCACACACAGCTCCTTGGAAGGTCCTAGGGAGACTGAGCCCCAGTTACCATGGCAGTGGCCAGTTCAGTAAAGTACCCTTGTAGTGGCCTTCCTTCCTTCCCTGTTTTACACGTTTCAGTCCCTCCCTCTTGTGCCTTGGGTCACTTCTCCAAATAAATGACCTGCATGCAAATGCAAACCCTTGTCTCAGGCTCTGCATTTTGGCTAAGACACATGGGTTCCTTGGGGAAAATGGAGATAGTTGTGGAGTGTTGATATGAGGTAGGGAAAGGGTCACAGGGAAAATTATCATTCGTATTAGATCCTACTTCTTAAAAATTACATAGATGTGTTCTTGTATGAATAAAGAGATGTTTGTGAAAGTAGTCACCAAAATATTAATGTTGATTATCTTAAAATGGTGACTATAATTTATTATATTTTATATTTTAAAAAGTATTTATGGCCAGGCACATGACTCATGCCTGTAATCCTAGCACTTTGGGAGGCTGAGGTGGGAGGATCACTTGGTCCCAGGAGGCTGAGATCAGCCTGGGCAACATAGTGAGACCCCATATCTACAAAACATTTTAAAAAGTGTAAAAAGAAAGAAAAGTATTTATTACATTTTTGTAAGTTGTTTGAATTATTTACAACAAACAGGTGATATTTATGTGTTGTAATCAGCAAAGCACCTTAAGAAGGAAGGTACAAATAAATGGTGGGGGGAAAAAGGTAGACCTTTAGATCAAGGTGGGTTTCCTCTTTCCTGGCATCTGTGCACAAAATCTTCCTTCCTTCCTCCTGAAGCCAGAACCCTTCTCTAACCATCAGCTTAATGCAAATAGAAATTCAACCAGAGCCCACTAGTTCCACAGCAGGAGGCGGACTTCAATTGAGGCTCAATTGGGAACCCCTGCTATGCATACGCACAAGCTTCCAATCTTGTTGAGATCAGCTGAATCAAACCTCAACTTGCAGAAGGAGAAAATGGAAGTGCTGAGCTCACAGGGAGTTGCTATTTCCTCAAAATTTTCACTTACAGCAGATAGCAAGGGGGCCTAAATAAGCCAACAGGTTACAAAGAGAAAATTGGATCCTCTGAGAAATGATACCTTCTATTTATTATCTTCTTTCTCCCATTGGTCAAGGGCCACTGCGTGGGGTGCTAACCCCATTCAGTTCTAAAGGTCTTGATCCATTCCCTGGAGTAAACTGTCTCGTTTAAACTGTCTTCAATACAGCTCGGTGTAGTTCATCAATTAATCAGACCCTGGGCTGAACAGTGGAAAGGACCCAAGGCTGTGCTCTCAGGAGGTGAGGAAAGCTATTGCACCTCTTTTTTGAACAAGGATTTGAATTTTTGAATATACAAGTAAGTTTCTAATTTGGAGAGTAGAGGGGTATGTACCGTGCAGCGAAAACCTTCTAGGTAGAAGGATCTTAAAACGTGTCCCAGAAGATTGGTGAATCAGGTCCAAAATCCTGGGTTGGCGGCAGCTTCATATGTTATTAAATCTTGACTTTAGAGTTGAAAGGAATTTCCCACTGGAAAAAAACAGAATGAAAGCTGAAAACTTGGCACTCGCCTAGAAAATCAAGAAGAGCAAAAAGGCAGCTCCCTGCAAACATCAGTTTAGGGATCTAAATCACCAGAGGCATCTCTCTGCAGCCTTAAGACCAATTATTCTACCATTCAGTGTCTACAAAACAAGCTTATACACATTATTATTCCTTACTGAAAACCATAATTTACAAGTTGACTCTCCCAGGTTTCATTGTTACGTTTCCCACGCCCCCAACTCTAGGTTTTCCGTAAGCTTCCAATTCATTGCCATCCTCAGTCTCCGCCTATTCTCTTTTCCTTTGTTTTAAGACTTATTTTACCTTGTCAGGAAAAGATTCTCAGGGTGTGAGCCTGCTTTGAAAAGGCAAGGTTGAAGGTGGGCAGTTCTGGAAAAGTGAGCCTCAACATCTCTTACCTGTCTTCACGATAAATCTTTCCTTCCATCTCAGCGGGCTACCCGGGGGAGCCTTTCCCAGAGCTGAGATGGGCTGGCTACCCAGGCGACAAAGGTTGGATGCTCCAGGTTGCATGATATTTACCTGTGATTTAAAAATGTATGTACTCTAGGAATCTTCTAGAGTGCTGGAAATGTTCTCTATCTCAGTCAGGGTGGTGGTTACCAAGTATATAATATATACAAATTCACCAGTCTTGCACACTTGATTATATATAAAGTATACTTCAATTAAAAAGTATTTAAAAATACCCTCAAAACATCCAGTGCCATTCATAAAACTTCAAACTATCTTCTTACAATTTTGGGCTTTGAAACATGGAAGAGAGCTTATTGCTTTTTTCTTGGACATTAAACGTCACTAAGATAACACATTTTGAATCGGCAACAATTTTGGTTAGCATTCTCGCCTCATAACTAGAAAAACATTCACTTTTCCTAGGAGAAAAGGAGAACTGGAGAAGAAACGGACCTTTAATCGCAATACATTGTGATAGGAGGCAATGGTCTCCATTCTCCATTTAATTGATTGCGTTCTTTTCCTTTCCTTTTTTTAAAAGGTGACATTTGATTTATAGTTGGCAGTACCCTCAAATGCAGTTTCCTTTCGAAATGAAAAAACGTTCAATTCTTGAGTGATTGGTGGACAGTGCCTGCTTTCAGGATCTTTTCCCAGTGTGCAGCTTCCCGGGAGACTGCTCTGGATAACCAGCAGGACTGTGCTTCTCATGTGCTCGTGGCTGGAGCCTGCTGGCTGGAAGCAGGGTCCCGGATGCCATTCCCCTGAGGCCAAGGGTCCCAGCTGCTTCCCCACTCTGGACTCTTGAAGCAGCACAGGATGCTCCATGAACTGCTGGTCAGCTGTCTGTTTCTAACTTGGAATTGTTTGCCTTTATTAAATCAGCCACTCTGTGGGCAATCTGGACAAGTTGTTTACCTTTTGAGCTTTCAGGGTTTTTTTGCTGCGAAATGAGGGAGCTGGTCAGACCCAGTGGATGGCAGCCCTGGCTGCGGGTGAAACCACGGGTGAAAGTCACCTGGGAAGATTTAACCTGAATAGGGAAGCAGGTGCTGTAGCAAACATTTTTCAGGGCTTCGGCTTTAAGAATGTCAGTTCTTATGGGTTTTGGTTGCAGAGCATATGTCTTTAAAAACTGCATGCCTGGTGCGACACACTTCTTCATCATCCATGCCACCGAATGACATTGAGCATACTTACTGGGTAGTCTGATCCGAATATGTCATGTAACCTGCCTGTCTGTTTCCCTTTACTGTTTCTAAAGCCATCTACCCTCTGTTGGAATAAGTGAGACCATCACTGGTTATTTTTATTGTTGTTTTAAACCTTCTTCTCTTTAAATATTTTTAGATTCCAAGAAGTTGCAAAAATAACACAGAGAGTTCCTGTGTACCTTTCACCCAGCTCACCCAATGATAACATCTTACATAACCATCCTCGCTGGTTATTATTCCATGATTAACCCCCCTCTCTACCCTCAGTGGAGGCCCAGAGCAATCAGCCTTCACATCTGAAACAGCCTAATAGCAAGCAGCAGCCTTTTTGCAATGTGAGAGTGAGGAGCTGAGATGAAAACCCAAGCTTCCTAGTTCCTAATCCAGAGCTTGTAGTGTCTTTGTGATACAGCCTTGCAGAGAGGTTAAAAAAAAAATCCCCAAATGAAAACTGATGGCTTATCTCTTTAAAGTAGAGGCAGCGAATAACTCATGAAATCATGCCTTTGCTTGTTATGCCCCTTGCAGTGGAGATGGATGGATGAGTGGATCTATCTCTGCCTACATGTCTCTCTGCACTATGCAAGGAAAATGAGATAGGTTGAGGAATGCAGTGAGGTGTGATGGATAGAGGACATGGCCGAGACTCAGAGAACTGAAGATACAGCCCTAGTTCTGCCAACTGAGTGAACTTGGTAAGTCATTCTCTGAGCCATTATTTCTTTGTTTGTAAAAGAGCAGTGGAGGAAGACTAGGCTGGGGAAGGAAAAGTTGGAGGCTTAAAATGGTATGAGTCTATGGAAATGGGTGTGTCAGGCGGGGCTCCCTAGGAAGCTAACTCTGAGAAGTGGGGGTAACATGCAGGCTGTTTGTTAAGGTAAAACTTTCATGAGAGGAAGGGGCTGAAGCAGGATTGGGCAGAGAGAGAAGTTGAGGCCCAATGACAACCTTGGCAACTGCCTGAGGCGCTGTGGAGCTAGAACACCCTTTGGCATAGTATCAAGTAGAGGTGAAAGGTCCAAGCCTTGACACCCACATCCATCTGGTCAGGCAGCCCCCTGCAGTGGAGGCCATTTTCCCCGATGACACTCTTAACTGCGGTCAACAAGGTCTTCATTAAAGGGCCATCTGGAAGGCCCACCACCATGACCACCATAAGGCAAAAGCATGACATGACTTTTAGTCAATAGAATAATAGAAATAATAAATATGAACAGTCACAGGGATATTAGAGATCGTGTAGCTCAACCTCCTCATTGAACAGGGAAGGAAAAGGGAAGATTCAGTGACTTGCCCAAGGTCATACAGAAAGGTCATGACCAACCGAGTCCTGGCCCTTTCTCCATTCTTTCCAGAACAAGACAGCTCACATGCTATGTACCTGCTAAATATCCTCCTTTCTATGCAGAGAGGGCCAGGCAGGCCACAGGCAGTACTGAGGGTGCTACAAGCTGGCCTTGGTCACAGCCATGGGGGTCTGAAGCCCATGCCGGTTGTGTCCAACAACTGTTTTTCCCCCAGTGCCTTCAGTCTTTCAAATAAAGTGGCATTTATCCTTCTGGCTGTCTGTGAGCCTGTCCAGGGAGTATTTTCAAGGCAATCTTTTCTCCTTGGAGCCTGGTTAAAGAGGGGAAAAAGTTAAAAATGCATTAGGATTAGGCTCAATGGTGATGGTGTCTCAGAGCCTTAGGCTGAATGGGAAATTCATCAATTCATCATTCAAAGCTGGACTGACAGAACACAGAGCCAAGCCGGAGAGGCCTGGAAACTGGCACGTCCCCCTGGATTTGCACAATTCCTCCGCAAGGATCATGGGGGCCTGGGTTGGAGAGCCCCACATGGCTGGATAATGAACGTCCGCTGTCCTGCTGAGAGCTGGCCTCTGTGCCTGGCAGCACTTGGGGAGTGTACATGTGTGAGGAATTGGGGAAAGCACGCCAGAAATGGTTACATTTTGTAAGAAATGTCTTATCTTGCTCCATTCACAGAGGAAAAGAAAACATCAGCACGGGAGCCAAACCTATTTCTCTGGGTAATCCATCTCTGTACTGCTGCTGCCTGCAAATCTCTCTCGCGTTAGGTTCCCTGGCTTCAGACTAATGCACGCACTGTATTCCTCTGAAATTTACTAAGAGACCTACGTGTCTTTTGTAATTCATATTTCTGTGTCTTATCTCCACATAACGTGCTAATATGGAAATTAATTTTGTGCTCATCAGATAGCAAAGTAAATTGTCAAGGTATGGGTTTCTTTTAGTATTGTTGAAAGTTCTCCCCACCCCATTCTCTGGCAGCTGAATACTTAATATTATCCAAACAGGGAAAATTAGCTTTCTGCAAATACATCAGAGCTGATTTAGAGTTGAAGTGATTCCTTCACTTCTCAAGCCCACGTGGGACTTGCCCCTACCTGCTCAGTCTCTTCTCATCACTCTGCCTGGGTACCCCCTGCATCCCCTCTAACCCAACTGCCCTCCAGAAGGTCAGTTAAATGCATCACACGTTCTCAAGTCGCTATCCCTTTGTGTGGACCTGTCCCTCTGCTTAGATCATCCTTCCTTGCCTTCTTTCCCTGAGCAACATCTGCTTCATCTTTCAAGAATGCGAAAATGTTACTTCCTCTGAAAGCTGGGGATTGGGGCTCTCTTTGTGTGTGTTCATGTGTTATCTGAGGCTGGGGGTGGCATACTGCCACAGGTGGCGGTGTCAGATATCCCCCAGGGAGCTGAGATTTGATTCCTTGCTCCCTCTCCACAGGGAGAGGATTCCTGCAGGGGAGGTCTGCCCGTGTTCTAGGGGCTGCCCTCCACCGTGGCTACCCACCTTCGGAATGTTTGCTTTCATTAGGCCCTCCTGGATGGATTGGCAGCTCTTCCCAAGTCAGGCCCTGGTATGCCCTTGTTGGTTTCCCGCAGTTAGCAGGCTGGGCAAGGGGGCATCTGGGAAGAATCCTCCTCAATGAACGCATGCGTGTAAGAGGGAAGGAATGAACTAGGAACAGGAAGTAAATTTCTTTCCAAGAGAAAAAAGCTGGAAAAATAATTGTTCCTCTTGTTTAGAAGATGACAGCTTTTTTTTTTTTTTTTTCCCCTTCTTCTTCATTACGTGCCTTTCTCTTTAAAAGACAAAAAAGGTAAGATTCTCCGGATCAGAAGCCAGACAGACTTTTTCACAGCTCTGCAAAAGTGAGAACAGCAAATTCACTTCCCTTCTCCCAAAAGGCTCCTGCTACCAGGTGCTCCCGCTCCCTGCAAGATTGCTTCCTGTAGAGTTAGGAGGAAGAGGTGTGGCTCCGATGTGTTCCCCGAGGCATCCCTGTGAGGTCGGCGCCCTCCCCTGTCCATTCCCCCACAGAGCCTTGGGCCACTTCCCACCCCGCGTTCCCTGGGACCCCCTGGACGCCTGGCCCTGCCCGTGAGCGCCGCTCCACTCTGCTGGGATGTGGGCACGCGGGAAGGCCCTTCCAGCCCCTGCCCAGCCGCCACTCCCGGCTTCCCTGAAGGGCAGGGCAGGGGAGGGAACGGGAGGGAGCTGCACGGAGGGACGCAGTTTTGGAACTATGGTTGGTCTGACTGGGTGTCGGGTCTGTGGCCACCCAGAGAAAGGCACGGAGTTAGCCCTTCGCAGTGGGTGACGCCCCACTCCTCGCCTGGTCCCCCTCAGCTCAGCCTCCTGTGACAGAGAATCTGGGGCTACAACGCACTTCGCTCCTCGACTCCGGGGTGCGAGCCGTCTCCTGCAGTGTGGTAGGAACGGCGCCCCTGCAGGGGTGCAGTTGCAGCCCCAGGGAGAAGCCCCTTCAACTCCCCACACTAGGAGAGGCCCACTGCCCTGGCCCAGAGGCTGGTTTGGCCTCAGTTTCCCTCCCTCTGTCCTCCGCCCCCAGCTCCCTCTCCCCACAACTAGGCAGGGCAGGACAGCCCTTGGGGACCTTGGCTATTTACTTGGGTCTCTTAGAGCTCTTCCTATCAGTGAGAGGTTTATTCACAAAGACGATTCTTTCTGTTGTTCTGGGGCTATTGACTCAAACACACAAAAGAAAAACTCAGAGTCACTCAGATACTACGATCTCTCTAGTTCGTGTTAATCTGGTAAAATTTCTCCGTAAGTAGAACATGGATCCAGGCACTGACCCCACCTCACGATGGGGAATATTATTTTTTTGTTGCTATGCACCACGATGTCAGGACAGCGTCCGCTTCCCCATCCTGCCCAGTCCTCCCAGGCTTGCCTAGGCCTGTGCGAAGGGATAGTGCCTGTCACAGAACCACCACTCACCCCTTGGTGGCAATACAAAGAATAAGCATGACTGCTTTTGGGCCCTGAGCCCAGATGCTGGGCCAGGTGTCCCCACACCTGTTACGGAAGCAGTAAGGATTTCTTCCTGTGCCAGTAATCTCTTGCTGAGGAGATGGGAGGGGGATTCATTCTCTGATTTCATGCATGGTTTTAGTTCCCATGAGAGCCCCCAGGCACTTTCTAGCCACAGCTGTTTGTCTATTCTCAGCTCTGCAGGCAGAAAGGCAGGCAACAGGGCCTTTTCCTCAGAGGAGCGATGGAGTCTACCTTCACGGAGTTCTCCCACACCTCAGGAGGCCAGACCTTCCTCACTGAGACAGCACAGCTTTCTGTGAAGCTGTAGAGTGGCGAAGGCTGCCCAGCACACACTGGGGCTTGAGAGCTGTGGGGAGAGGATCCTCACTCAGAGAGGGGGCAGGTTGCCATCAGGCAACGCAGGGACTTTGTCAAGGGCCAGAAACCTGTTTTCCGTTCCTATGTCCCACCCTGGATCTCCTCGTTCTCCTTCCCCAGTATTTGCCAGGCATAGGAGACTCTGTAGTGGCTTTACCTATGGTGCTGGAGGGAGCATGACTGGGTTGCATGCCTCGGGAGGGGTGGGAGAGTGGAGGCACATGGCATGTATGTGTATGTGTACATGGATCACATATGATAGGCACTTAACATGTTGCTTTTTAATGAGAAATGTATTCAATTCAAAGGACATTTAAGGCGTTTATGCTGAGCTGGTGCTGCTAGGTGTGTGCTGTTTAGAATCAAAAGATACATCACATGTGTTCTATGCAGTAAAATAACTTCAATCCAGTAGAACAGTGTTTCTCCAACTTCTCAGGCCCTGATTCACAGTAAAAAATTCTTTTCTTAAAAAATTACATTTATTTGTGTAAAATATGACATAAAATGTATTATCTTAACCATTTTAAGTGTACAGTTCTGTAGTGTTGAGTATATTCATGTACAACAGATCTCCAGAACTCTTTCATTGTGAAAAATTAAACTCTATACCCACTAAAAATAAATCCCCATTAGAAATATCTTTTATGCTGCAACTTCAGTGCACATACGCGCGCGCACACACACACACACACCACTGCTTGAACAATTTCATGAAACAAATACTTGCCCTTACTGCATGGAACACACTCTGATATTCTATTCTATTCTACTTACTTATTTTTGAAAATGCTGGTCAAGACCCAATAACTTATTTCTGTTAGTGCGTTTTAGTGGGTTCCACACCTGCAGTTTGAAACGCTCTGCTGTAGAATACAGACAAGATCACAGATTGCCATGTGACCAGGCAGAGTCAGGTTTGGGGCACAGGGCAGGAGCAGGAAGTCAGTTCTTGAGGATTTGTAGGAGGGAGGGAAACCACTGAGTCAGGGAGATCAGAACAGGTCTCCTGGGAGAGTTGCTGCCAGAAATATTCCTCGAAATGTCAATAAGATTTCAACTGAGGTCCGGGTGCGGTGACTCACACCTGTAATCCCAGCACTTTGGGAGGCTGAGGCAGGTGGATCACCTGAGGTCAGGAGTTCAAGACCAGCCTGGCCAACATGGTGAAACTCTGTCTCTACTAAAAGTACAAAAATTAGTCAGGCGTGGTGGCAGGCATCTGTAGTCCCGACTACTCGGGAGGCTAAGGCAGGAGAACTGCTTGAATCTGAGAGGTGGAGGTTGCAGTGAGTTGAAATCGTGCCACTGCAGTCCAACCTGGGTGACAAGAGCAAAACTCTCTCTCTCAAAAAAAAAAAATAAAATAAAATAAAATAAAAATTCAGTTGAGAGTAGGGAAAAAGAGGGATAAGATGTGTAATAAAAGGAGGGTATTCCAGGCAGATGAAATAGCAAGTGTGATCGTAACTGCACAACTCACTAATTAAGTAAATTTGTGCCTCTGTTTTCTTATCTGTAAAATGGGGATAGTAATACTACTTACTTCTTCGTAACATGAAAGTTTAGTAAATTAACCCATGTAAAGCACTTAGAAAAGTGCCTGGTACATAGAAAACATGTAATGCTAGTTCTTATTATATATTATGTTATGTTATATTATATTATATTATATTAATTTTTAAGGAAGCTTATTCAGCTATTCCATCTGTTTACAACTGAGCTGAAAAAAATGAAACAGGAGATAACTTCCATTACAAAGCTCCCCCCCAAAATGGAGTTATTGACAATAGTTATAAACCATTGTCTGTTCAATAGCAAGTGATAAGATAGTAAAAGCAGTAATAATAATAACAACTAGCATTTATTAAATGTCCAAGATGTCCAGGATGGTACTGAGCACTTTACATGCATCATTTCATCTAATCAGTAGTTACAGTCAGAAGGCCAGCCATTTAGAGCGTTCTGTATCAGTTTTTCATAGGCAGACCTCTGCCTCTACCAGAAGATCATTGACAGAGAAGAAGGGAGTTTGTCAGGTAGACAGAAGTCTTTTTAAATCTTGGCAGGCTTGGGGGACTGTCTTGGGAAAGGTGGCAGGTTCTTGAGGAGCAACAAATGAAGTGTATCTCTGTGGCCATGGCCACTCAAGGCTGCAGAGAGCATTCCCAGGGTAAGCCTTTGACCCTCACAATGAGAGCAGACCTGAAAATTTCCCACCTCTGAGTCTAATTCTATCAGGGTTTCCTAGTGTTTCCACAGGGAAACAGGCAGCTAAACAAAATATAGCATGGGGTTTGTAGAAACCTAGGAAATTCTACCGAGCTCCATGCATGGCGGTACTGACCTTCTCAAATGGCCCATAGTTGACTTTGCTGTCTTCATCCTGCATAATCAACTACAGGGTGACTCACTGAAGACCCTGCACAGAAGCTCATACCCTTACTCAAAAGATTGCTTTCAGGCCCTCCCTCAGATCCTGCTAACTCTCATGTTAGGTATGACTTTGATCAGTCCAAATAGCTGCCTTTCTGTCTTGAAGCAGATTAGAAGCCTGAATTAAAAGGGATTGGAGGGTGTGTGTGGAGGCTGCTGAAGACGAACATGCTGACTGCAAGACTATAAAGGAAGGAGGACCTGAGACATTACACTTAACAAATACCCCATGCATAGAAAACAGTGCTCAGAACGTTCTGGGAGCAGAACCACGTTACATGGCTTTGTAGCCCACCTAGACCCTGTGCAGAATAACACGCAGGCAGGAGGCCCTGCGTTCTCAACACAAGGCGAACCAGCCTGCCTAAGAGGAAGGAAAATGAGAGGATGACTCAGAAGACCGGGGGTCAACCCCAGTTCCACCATGTACCAGCTTTGTGACTTTCAGCAAGTCACCATCCCTTTTAGGGTCTCAGTGTCATGTTTGCCAAATGGGGGTGAGGTGCATGATAATAATAGGACATCGGCTACAGGCTTGTAGTGAAGACAAGATAATATAGATGGAAAATCCTCTGTGAGTTTCAAAGCACTGAATAAATGTTTGAGTTTAATTATTCAGCTCAGTGTTTAAGGAGAAAAGAATATGTACAGTAAGATTTAAAACTAGTTCTCTCCAAAATTGGAGAAATGAGTTTTGGAATGGAAAGTGATGACTTTCAGTTTGTTAAATGATTCACTTATGTGAAGTTTTGTTGATAGATGATAGATAGACAGATGATAGATGGATGGATAGAGGATAGATGGATAGATAGATAGAGAGATAGACAAATA